TCTCCACAACCTCCAGTGTCTCACCAGCAAGCGTGAGTGCAGGCAGAGGCACCTGCCAGTCTTGAAGGAGAGCCTTGCATTTGGATGGCGAAAAGCACATACTATACTTTGATGCTTCAATCGTCAAGCGGTTTAGTGCAAGTTGGACGACCTGTGGATCGTCACCTAGCAAGACGATATCATCAGCATAATCCAAATGAACAACTCGACTACCTGGGAGGAGCTCAACGCTAGCGTTCAACGAATCGTCCAGAGCGTTCTTTAGGACATCCTCAATGGCAAAGTTGAATAGGAACGGAGAGATGGAGCATCCTTGTCGAACTCCACTAGAGATCACAAAGGAAGGCGAAAGCTTGCCATAAGCCCTAACTCTGCCCGAGGTCAGACCATAGAGGGCGCTCAGTATGGAGACGAACTCCTCGGGGGACACCATTCCTCAGTAGGCAGTGCCACAGTACCGTCCGATCGACAGAATGGAAGGCTGCACGGATATCCAAGAACACAGCAATCCTTGGCCTCTGATACACATCACGGAGCTCGAGGATCTAGCGGCGTGTGAAGGTTTGTTCGATACAGCCGCGACCAGAGCGAAAACCAGCTTGCTCTTCTCGCTGCAACAATTCGCGCATTGGGGATAGCCTGCGAACTATAATGGACACCAGCAGATTGCAAATGACGGGGACTAGGCTTATGCCTCTTTAGTTGGAGCAAATTGTATGCAGGCCCTTTTTGAAGATGGGGACGACTATCGATTCACCCTAAGATGATGGAACTTCCTATTTCGACAAAACTTTCGGGAACAAAGCAGTGTTCTCGAACCAACGAAGCGCCACCATCTTTAAATAGAGCCGGAGGAAGACCATCAGGGCAGGGGACTTTATAACGCTTCATATGGTGGAGCTCCTGCTCGATTTCCTGGTAAGAGGGAGGCTCGGTGGGGGTAGACCACTCGGGCCCAGTGCGAGCACCAGAGGTAGCAGATGGAGCTGAGGGCCAACAAAACTGCGAGCCAAAATGTTCGACCCATCGCTCGAACCGTCTTTGAAGATTGGTGATTAAGGTGCCATCCTCTTCGCATATTTTTGAACTTATACCGGATCGAACACCTTTTGTGACTCGAATGAGATGGAAAACTTTTCTGGTATTACCAGAGAGACTAACAAGCTCCATCTCCCTAGCACGTTCACACCACCAAGCTTCGCGGTCCATTTGCAAACTTTTGCGCAACTCTCGACCCAGGGATTGGCGTTTTTCACTGTGTCTGGAATCCAACGGGATCAAACGGCGTTTGTCCATCAGGGACAAGGAGACGGCGGAAATCCAATGCTTCGGTGGGCGACAGGCAACTTCACGAATATCCATACTGGCGGAAACTAAGGCATCTTTGATCTGCGCCCACTGCGAAACGAAGTCACCGTCAATAGTTGAGCCAAGCAAGCTTGACAGTGAGGCTTGCTACCTGGTTACATTCGACATCCGGTCGGTAGTGAGCACATTTGGGTGATCCTCCGAAATGCATGCAATTCTTAGCACGAACCAATGCGTGATCGGAGTCTAAATAAGTTGACCAGTACGATCGGCAGTCCGTTACGCTTCCGCGCCATCTGTAGCTGATTTCTATGTGGTCAAGCTGGTAACACTCTTGCGTTTATGACGGCGGGCGCCAGTTAGCAGTGTGTCACCTCGAGTGCCGAAAACTAGTGTTCGAAAGAAACAAGCAATGATCAGAGCAAGCAGTCTGTTTCCATTGTCTGATCGACTGCCACAGAGGCCAAAAGTACTCCCAAGGTGGTGCTCGCTTAGTGCAAGGCGACCCACCCGTGCGTTAAACTCCCCGGCAAAGATGTCTATATCAGTCCTTTTGGAGCAACGCAGAAGTTCATATAGCTGCTGGTAAAAGTTATCTTTAACCGCAGTGTGTAGGGGCGTAGGCAAAGACGACGAACAAGGCACGCTTAACGTCTCGACGCCCACTTACCTTACATGATACTCGTAGTTGGACTGCACGTAGCCGACTGTTGACTGAGATCCAGTCAAGCAAAGCTGATTCAGCCCTGACACTCAGTGCAACCCCAACACCAGCTTGGACAGAGGCGGCAGCTTCTGGGTCTCTGGAATGCCGCAAGTGGTATTTAACGTCAGGGTTTACCGGAGAGGCCATTCTGATGACGGCGCTAGAGTCTTGTAATCTGGTCTCTGAAAGGCAACAGAAGTCTACCGAAAGCGTTTCAAGAGTACGGGCCAGATATGCTTGTCGTCCGATCTGCATCAAAGTTCGAACAATAAACGCTGCGAGGATGAATGGAGAACTATGTCGAAGAAGTGCTGGAGCTTCGGTGGAGTGAGAGGCGGTTGCGATCGCAGGACATTGAAAAGCGGGAGGTTGTGCCGGTGACCGAAGAAGACATACTAGTACATATAGGTGAAAGATGGGAGGTGGGTTGGTCTGTGAGTGGAGATTGAGCAGTTGACTTATCATAGATGATAGGCACAGCAAAAACAGTAGTAAGCAGTGTGGTCCATGATTCGTCAGTGGGCGTGATACTACCCGGTTGCCCAGGCCGAAGGAGAGGGTTGTCTTAGGGGGCCTCAATCCGAGCCTTTGACCAAAGATCTAACCTACAAGGCAGCAGGGCGATGTGAGGGCGTTGCAAGCCGTTGGGAGTCGGTGACCCAATAGATGGTTCATGCACCTTTCGGTCCGTGAAGGACCAGGGGCCCAACGCACCCTTGAAGTACACTGCCATTCAGGGAGAGGCAAGAGGCAGTGACTTTATTTAGTGGCGAGTCACATCCTCCACGATGCAGTGTTGTTAAACAGACATTTGTTGCTTTGTATAGAGAGAACGCTTGCCAGGCGAAAATCCACCTCGTCCTGGAACACTGTCGCCGAACGATTTGCTGGGACGGAATAATCTAGAACCACCCAGCTGGCACCACGAGGAGGATGTTCGGCAAGCCAGCCTCGAGGACGGTTGCATACTTTGGGGTTCTCGAATCATCGTCCCCAAACGGTATCGTCAAACAATCCTGCAGGAACTTCATACGGGTCACCAGGGAAATTCAAAGGTGTAGGCACTAACACGTAGCTATATCTGGAGAGTCGGTCAAGAGATACAACAACTCGTACAATTGTGTGCTGCCTGTCAAGGAAATAAATCATCCCGACAACCTGTGTCATTGTCTCAATGGCAATTGCTCTCCGCTCGTGGGACAGAATACACATTGACTTCTGTGGACCCAACGACGGCTTCATGGTTCTGGCCATTCCATATATATATATATATATATATATATATATATATATATATATATATATATATATATATTTCACAGTCTGTTAACAGCCGTTGTTACATCAGAACCATGGCAACAAAAACTGGAGTAAAGACACGAAATGCGATAATAAAAAAATGGTTTTTGCTTTTACACACGTTATTTAGAGTTGTTTTGTTTTGTGGGTTTTCTGTGTGCTCCAAAGGGGGAATAAGATGGCAGAACAACATTGACGTCATTGTTGTCTGTTGCGGGCCATGACATCCAATGTTTCTGACTACCGAGATTCAGCATCGCACGGTCCCAAACCTGTAAGACGGACTGGTCCGTCCGCCGCCAAACTTAAGCTTGCCTTCTTCATGCTCCTTGTCCACTTCATTGGCGCTCCACCGCGGCACTTTTTCCAATCGCTCCCAGGAAGTGCAAATAGCGCTCGATGTGGAAGGCGATGCGCTGGTATGCGCAAAACCTGCCCTAGCCAGCGCATGCCATGTCGGGGAATAACGTTCTGGAGACTGGCACTGCTCGCTCCAAGTACTCAGTCTCGGACCTCTGCGTTGCTTACGCAGTGTTGCCATCACACCCGAGTAATCTTTCGTAGACAGTGTTTGTCGAAGACTGACGGCCGCTTCATGTCTTCCGATCAGATAGGCTGTCTCAGCCCTACAAGAGTACTGCACGGACGCAGGCATTGGACACCCTGTCCTTGAACTTGAGACTGACAGCACGACGTCACCGTAGGTGTCCCGGTTTGATGAATGCAAGGCGGGCGTTCCCATCCGTTGTGAATTCCTCTCCAACACCGCCATCAGCCGTGATGCTCTAGAACATGTCCAGCGATGGTGAGTGCGGGTTCAGGCACCTGCGAGTTCTGGAGCAGCGTTTTCCATTTTCCCGAAGTGAAGCATAAACCGTATTTTTTGCCTCAGAATTGTGAATAAAACGCTAGTGTTCAGAGCCGGTGCGTTTTGTTTCTCTTGACGCGGCTGGGAGACCCAAGCACAAACACAGTGTTTGCTGAAATAGTCGTTCTTGTACTATACAGGAAAACGATTAGGGTTCTCAATCAAAGCATTTGGTTCCAAAGCCTATTCGCAAGATTGTGGGGAGGTGGCAACAACTCGATATTATAGGAACGGACTTCATTTCATTTCTAATCCCAATCTGGAGGGCCAAAGTACTGAGCCTGGCTAATCTCTAACCAACCTATTTGGACTAGCTCTCAAGGGGCCCAGTATAGCTGAATAGCTCGAGGAGATATGCAAACCATCGCACTATGATAAGGTCCAGTCTCATCGCGATGGTTAAACGTTTACTGACGAATCAGATTACATTAACACAAACACAACAAGAGGAGTCGGAGATGAGGCGGGCGCTTGAGATAGAGGGAGAATATAGAAGACTATTTTTGTGCAAGAAAGGCATTTATGTCTTTCGGCACCGCATAAGCTCCATCCCTCTGTGTTACAACTTCGGAGGAAGCTTGTTCAAAACGGCATCGTCTATTCCCAAGTCTCCCACACATGTTTATCTTGTTATCTAAGGACTACTTTGTTGGATCCTGACCAATTCTAATCAACTCATATTCTCTGTTCTGCCTTTAGTCGAAGACACCAAAGTGCAAACTTAAGTTACCGTTAGTTAAATTGTTTGCTTGCCTTTGAATTTGCATAAAAAATTAACCCTGTTCTCTTTCATTCGTCTTTTTGCTTCATCGCGATCAGGTTCTTCGATCCCTCGTGCTCTACTTTCCCTCGATGGGCGAGTCGGTAATTCGCTTCTACATCGATGCGGTGGCCGATCGCCTGACGACAACAACGTCCCCTGGTGATGGTGGTGGCTACGTGGGGTCGACGAAAGGCTCAAATCAGCCCGTGTGCATTTTGTGCCCAGAATCAGGTTCGTTTACGTGCACTCTCTGCGGTCTGCCACTACGTGTAGGTTCTTTCGCACAGTAGCTATTCACGCTCTTCGATATTCACACTCATTTGTTCTGACACTTGTTTTCCATTACTAATGAGTAAGAGTTTTTTTGCTGTTAACTGGAGGTGATTCGTCGAAGGTATCTCCCAGCCGCGGACAGTTTACCGTGCATCTGGATGTGTGCTCTGATGTCTGGTTACGAACTGATCGATACGAATCATCTGTAACTTGTTGGTGTGTTGATCTACGAGGTGTGTCAAAAAAGTGCCAGTACTGGCGTCACTAAAGATTTAGTTGAAACTCAAACTTCACACTGAGTTTTCTCCTTTAAAGTAATCCCTTCGGAGTTTAATCCACTTTGTCACCCTTCTCTGTCATGCTCCCATGCGCTCCTGGAAGCGTTCTCCCTGCCTCCGATCTTTTTGATGTTGCTTGCTTTTGAAACCGGTCTTCTTGATGATCCCTTTGCGTTTGGAGAAGAGGAAAAAATCAGACGGAGCCAAGTCGGTTGCGTAAGGAGGTTGCTAAAGCACAGCGATGTTCTTCACGGTGAGAAACTGCCGCGGATGCTCAGGGTATTGTGAGTACGCTGGTTGTCATGTTAAAGCAGCCACAAGTTGTCTTGCCACAACTTTCGCCTGTTCTCACTCACTGAACTAGACAAACGCTGCAGTATCTTTCTGTGAATATGTTGGTTGGCCCTATGGCGCCTGTTCATAAGGTCTTGCTCATCTTGCAGTTCCCGGCACTGGAACTTTTCTGACCCACCTCGTATTTGTGCTCTGCTTTTTGGAATTGAACCGGCCTGTTGACGAAATGATTCAGCGCCTGAGTTGTGCAGACCACTAGCCACCGATTGGGACCTGCATATGTGCGGGAGAACTCGACGGGTATCCCAGCTCTCACGCTACCGCTGTGGCAGCGAAGCGTCATGGCCAGGTCCCGACGTCCTAGCGGCGTCTTTGTACCCCCGGGTTGGTTGGTGCTGTTGCGTACATGTTTCTCATTCGCTTCATTTCACATACATTCCTTCAACCTACCTTGCCACCCGGTCTTCTCATTCTGCCTACCAGCAGTTATCCAGTGGTTTCCTGTTTTCATCGTGTTCACTTCAGTTAAACAAATGTGATAGAGTGCCGAAGTGCAATAGACACCGCGTTCCAATGATCCATAGTTGGGATTGCTGGGACAAATGAGATTGAACGCGGGTAGAAAACAAAGAACAACGATCTGGGGGAAATAGTGATCAGGGCTATAATCGAGATTTGCAGCTGAATTCAAAGTAAAAAAAATAAATCACCTGCTGTACGCCGTAGCGACGCTTCGCTGCCACGCGACCACCACCAATCGCGCGTGGGCTGAGTATACCGCGAGGACGCCCGCCCCTACGCGGATTCGAACCGGTGACCTTATGGTTGCAAACCAGACGCGCATACCACTCGGCCACTGGCCGACACTGAATACAAAAAAGAGCCGCCAACTCCTTCTCCTCGACTGCGCTATGTAACGGAGCGACATGTTGTACAGCATGCTCACCAAGCCTATCCTTGTCAGTGTCTTCATGCTACTGCAGCATCATCTGGTCACTTGGCGGATTCGTGTAGCTAGATACAGCGGCCGCATACACTGCACGCCTATGATGGCGGTCACCGGGCATACACAGTCAATACTGGTCAGCCAAGTCAAGAAGGTGCTTTATGTATCCAGCATGTGCGCGTGACACACATGGGTTCCGCTATTTAACCAAGGAGACGTGATATAAAGCAGACCAGGGAGGTGTACGTGTCAGTAAATGACAAACACAGTGCCCTCATACACTGGGTGGTTAATACTCGGACAAATTTGTAATCTTTAGCAAAAGCAACTCTGGATGAGGCATCACTGTGAAACGGGAAGCTTGTATTCTGGCAAATATCGACATTTACTTCTCTCTGGTTGGCAGAGTTGACATACATTTGGATAAAGTGCACAATGAAAGAAGTGACTTGTTCCCGCTAGTATCATTGCCGCTAGCCTCTTGCAAGAACTAACATGACTGCACATAGGTCAGCTTTGGCGCACCACCACATCGGGACAAGTGTTTTAACGGTTTGACGGTTATTCTACTGTACTTCCCTAGTCTACTAGACTAGGGAAATCACTAGAGATTAGTACGCAGGATATAACCTAATTATCCTAGGCGATTCAATTTCCAAAAGCATCCCATTACTCCAGAGACTATTCGTCACAGCTAGACTCAGGCAAACAGCGACCACATATGCAGGAAAGCGCTAGATGGTCGTTTCATCCTATTGGGACTCGTCTGTAACGCACACCTACCGAATCCTGCCGGATTCAAACCAATGGCCTTATTCTTACACGCCAGCGACTTATGCGACTGAACCATAGGTGACGGCGGCGGACCGCAATGAGTGATACTGTGATATAGCACAGCTCATCTTCCACTGTTATGCATATAACAGATATGCAGAGGACATTGCTGGCCCCCAGAGCTACGACTGCTTTTGCGAGCCACCGCTGATCGCATTGGCATTTAAGCTGCTAAGGTGCTTACTGATAATTAGTTAGTAGTAGGAGGTGGCAGATATAAATAAATAATCCGTTACTCTCCACAATGCGAGGCACACCTTCATAGGCATGATCCTGTTAAGCTGACATAGTGTGATCGAAAATGTACAAAAATAGATGTTTGGTATGACAGTGAATGTGTGTATGGTCTCTTTTAGCTGCATAAATTTCCTTCCGCTTTATTTGGTTTGTTCTGCCTAGCTGAATAATCTTCTATTAACTTGCACACGTTGCTTAAGCTAATTGTGCTTAGCTTCGGTAAATTTGCTGCGTTTGTAGTACTATTAAGTAACTTGTGGACATTTTGTACTTATCGCGGATTCATTGCCAACCAACTTACTTCATATGCTAATTTAACGAAGAGTTATGTCGGCATAGCCGTATGCTTTAACAGATATATTTTATTTGGCAATGTCTTTTCAAGTGATCGGCTGTTGTCCGACATGCCCGGTGTGGCTGCGCTTGATGTGCATGTTGACAAGGTGCCTACCTGTCTATTACCCACTACCTCCTCCATACTGGCTCTAGAGAACAGTTGGTCGTTGTTGGAGGGGACGGACTGCACGGTGCTTGTGGCCGTGTTATTACCAAAGATTGGTTCCATGCACTCAGCAGTGTGGAGCGGACTACGGTCCAGCCACCGCCTTGTGCTCTCTTGATTCTCAAATACAGCGTGCTTGTGTTTGCCTGTGAAGGAGTGTGGGCCGGCTCCGTTGATGAAAAGTGGCTCCCATCCGCATGCCTCCCGATCTTATTCCTTCGGGTTAACACTAGATATGGGGTGTGTGGTTGGAGCTGTGGGTGGTGCAGCGCAAGCCACCCATGGTCCCTTTGTGGGCGCAGGCATCCTTTGGCTGGCCACATTGACAGGCAAATCCGAAGCCGCATGCCGCCAACTAACTGTGTAAGATTGTAGCTGTGTATCTTGTGTTAGAGAATTCGCCGCATCATTTTTGACTGTTTGTACTCGCCAACAATGTGAGAATAAGTGATTGATATCCGTTCGTTGGATAGCATTTCCCGGATAACCACGGTGCAGTGACTTTAGGTTGTGGCGAGTCACATCCGGCACGTCGCGGTTTTGATAAGCAAACATTTGTGGATTTGTATAGGGAGAACGCTTCCTAGGCGAAAACCCACAACATCCTGGAACACTACCGCCGAACTATTTACTAGAACGGGTTAAATCCGAACCACCCAGCTGGCACCACGAGGAGGTTGTTCGGCTAGCCAGACATATCTTTCGCAATAGCTTCCGGAATCAGCATGAGAAACGCTCCCTGAAGTCGTTTTCCGAGCCTGTGACCGCACTCTAAGAGGTGGGACATGTTGGAATTATTATAACACCTCGTCTCGTCCTGTAAAGCCACTTCGGAATGTGTTCACGAATCCTATGAGATAGGCGCCTCATTGTACGATCCAAATCTCGTGCACTACATGAGCACGAGTACTGATAAACAAACGAGCATTGATCGAGTCAATGTAGCAGGCGAGCCGCGATATTGGTCTATCCAGCAACGTGTTTCAGGCCTTTGGACAGGGTACCAGTCGCACTGTCGCCTTTGAAAGAACAATACACAATGAGTTCTTTCTTAGGTACACTCATCCTCGGTGGTTTTATCTTGCGTTCTTTCAAATGCTTGCGAATGAATTTATCCGGATACTCATTCGCTTTGGAATAAGCGTGAAAATTGGTAGCTCAGGTTGTTACAGTGTCAAACGGACTGTTCGCTGAGCTTGGCAAGTTTGTTGCAAACGTTTCGTCACCAACCGAGGTGACATCGTCATCCAGGCTTGCCTACGCTACGTTACTGGCCACACGCTACTCAACAACGCATTGATAATGTCACCTCGATTGGTGACGAAACGTTTGCAACACACTTGCTAAGCTCAACGAACAGTTCATCTGCCACCTATATGCTCTTTGCGAAGATTCGTCGCAGCTACACTGAGCGCCATGTCGCAGCTAGAAATTAGTCATGTCGATCCACCGCCATCACCCTGACTCAGTGGCACAAGTCTCTGACTCGAATGTGTAAGGTCTTGAGTTCTCACCCGGCACGATTCGACGGGTGCGCGCTAGTGACGAGTCCCGATAGGACGAAATGGCCATCTAGCGCTTTCCAGTATTTGACGGCTCTCTGCCTGAGTCTAATTGTGGCGAATCTTCACCAAACCCATAACTCCCCATACTACTTACCAATATTCAGTAGTCACCTTAGCGTGCCTCCTCGATTGGTGGTGGCTTGCGAAGGAAGTCGTAGCTCTGGGGACCGGCCCTGTTCTCTGCACGTTCATGACATGCATGACGGTGGAGGATGAGCCGCGCTATATCGCAGTTAGATATCAGTCATGGTGGTCCGCCGCCGTCGCCCATGGCTCAGTGACATACCTCGCTGGCTTTCTAGACTAAGGTCGTGAGTTCCCATCCGCCGGGTACGCGTTATTGGCGAGTCTCAATAGGTATAGTGCATTCAAGCAAATCCCCCTGCTGCCCTTACTGCATCACCGGAGGGTCGCTTTCCGTGCACCGGCTGGCGAACTTCAGTATTGGTCACTCGTAAATCTCCAGCCAAATGAAGGCAAATACTTTGCAAGTACCGGTTATTAAAAACAGTCATTCTCTTACTGTGTTTCAGTGCGAATTGGCCCTGCTTATGACCGATACGGTAACACCGATATTATCGCAACGCTGTGCATCTCATCTTTGGGCTAATATCCCACGCTCTTTTGAGGTGTGATGGATTTCTCTCCAAACTGTGATACAACGTGTTGGCAGGGAATTCGCTGGCTGCACTGTGAACATTATCCGCTCACCTAAACCTATTGGGCAATAGTGGCAGACGTTGGGTCGTATTCTGGGACTGAATCATGTTGATGATTACCATTTTTCAATCATTTGCACCAAAAACACTATCATCATATTTCTCTGCAAATCACTCGTGATAGTTCGTATCACAATCAAATTGCATCCGGTGCAAGCGCACGCACGCAGACTCTTCGTACTGAACGAATTTGCTCTTATTGTGGATGCAGCTGACTGGGAAATGTTGTAGAACATTGCTCGCAATAGTGATCGACTGCCGTTGTCCAACTACCCACCGATTCGAGCGAACGCCCAATTCCAGCGTGTTACGAGGCGAACAATATGATCCTCGGTTATGATAGCCCCTTATTTCTCTCGATTTCACTGTTTTCCCTTAAAGGTCATGCCAACTACTTTGATTCGGGCTCTCCCGTGGAATGTGAGCGTCGTCCTTGCCCAACCAATTTGTTTCACGCGGCAAGCCGGCTGTTCTGTCTCAATGGTAGCTATTCCACTCCAATTGGCCGAAAAGCTGGGCAACGCAAACACCTGACTCATCCTGCTCCACTCCTTTCCAAACTGCCCTCATCCTCCGCCAAGCCCCGTTTTGTGTGCCCACCCTTTGGTTGCAAAATACACGCGTCACCTACCACGACTACCGTTTCGGCTTCAGAAAGGACACAAGTGAACGCTCTTTCTGACGCGGTGACTGTCCCTTCCATCCGCGTGACTCAGTGCCCCAAGACAGAACACGAGGAGCAGATGGCGCATGGCCGTCTCTCGGTAATCGCGCCATCGAAACCCTTACAGGTGAGTTGGTAAAGGTCTGTACAGTTTTACTTTCCCATTCTCGCCTCGGATGTTCGTCACCTGGCTTGTGCTCTGCTTTCGAAGTTCCACTTCCAGAACACGTTATGCACGTTGCGAATCTTGCGCGCTTGTGCCTAACGCGTTGCGTCTCATATCAGAGCCGCGCGCATAACCAAACGACTGTAGTTGGAGTTATATGGCTTGTATAATTTGTGGACATTTCTTTAGCTCACTTTGGGCTTGAATTAGTTCGCCTTGGGATGGTTGTTGTAGACTACAACTCCGTTTTTAGTTTGTTAACTCGGCTCAGAATCTGTCTTTCCCCATAAACGAAGCAGTCGCGGCTCTCAGAGCACCGATGCATCGTGGTTGGTTGCCAAACTACTACGATTTATGGGGGGGGAGGGGGAATGCGAATCATACTATTTACTTGGTTACATAGGAGTAGTAAGGGAATTGAATGGTATGGGTGGAAATTCGTCACATCTAGACTCACTCAGACAACCGTCACACACCCGGAAAAGCACTGTACGCGCGTTTCATCCTTTCGGGAATGGTCATCAGTACGCATCCCATCGGACCCTGGTAGGGCTCGAACCCGCAACTCGACTATGGTCAGTCCGTGGTTAAAACCACTGAGCTACGGCGACGAGAACGACCATCGTGAATAAGTTACTACATGTGATATAGCGCTGCTCACTATTCACTGATAGTCGAGATGCGGGTTCGAGCCCTACCAGGGTCCGATGGGATGCGTACTGATGACCATTCCCGAAAGGATGAAACGCGCGTACAGTGCTTTTCCGGGTGTGTAACGGTTGTCTGAGTGAGTCTAGATGTGACGAATTTTTACCTATTTACTTGGTGCCTAGAGATTCCGATTAGAAGATAAATCCCTCGGTAATCAGTACGAGTGCGCTAGTGACAACATTTTCCTCCCCGATGCTTTGCAAACACTCCGGCTCTAAGATTGTTTCATTAATCCTACATGGTTCGTTCCTTGGAATCGGAGAGTGAACTGCTGTAGCCCAAAGGTTGTCAATGGCAATTCACAAAGCACTTAATTGACTTTAAGAAGCGAGACCGAACGACAACGGTCCATGTAAGCATTTCTGTTCACGAATTGCGATATATTAAAAAGAAACATTATAACAGAATGAAATGAATTCAGCTATTTCAGGTATTCTCCTGAGCTGTTTACATACAATTTGTGGAAAGACACAGGTTGCATGCATATCAAAGACAAGCGAAATGCGATGTTATCAGCGAAATTTAAAGCGATCGGAAGCCGTTGAGTTCACATGACCCGCTCAGACGAAAGACAATCGCTAGCCTCACTAGGATAGGGCGAGGTTGGTCACGAAATCCGTTTGTTTGCACAAAGTTGGTTCCACGTGCCAAATCGCTGAGGCCTTAGCGAACTGAAGTAGACGGGGATTACTCTGTTTGTTGATTACCTTAAATCCACTACGTGGGTTTTGGCACACAGATCAATCGAGATGTGGCGGGCAATCGAATTAGTGTGTTGGTTTGCGCTATTTGCAGTCATGACATAGCTGTCGACCATCGTCGCTTCCAGTGCATTTCTAGCGTCTAGCGTGTCGGCAACGACAAGCTGCACCGGCGTGTACGTACCGGACTGTTCCGCGTAAATCAAACGGATAAAGTTGGGTGGACTTCGTTGGCCTACCTTATCGAATTGAGTCTTGCCTTGCTGGCCGAATGTAGCTTGATCTGGAGCTAGGAGAAAATGGTCACCGATGACGAAACTAAGTGAGGTTAACCCATCTTCCGTTCCGAACCGAGGCTCACACGACACGCTCTGTGTTTGCTTCGCAGTTGACATTCGTGTCGCGTTTGATTTTTAGTTCCTGGTCAAAGTGCTTGTTTGAAGTATGCTTAGTACCTCGATGTCTTGGAAAAATGATCGGAACCAAGCGGGAAGTTCTCGACTGGCTATAATATATCTCTTGATTGCTGGTGATGTTGTCCGTGCGTTTCAAAAGTAACTATGCCGCGGGGCGGTGAAAGCCGTTAGGAGGCTGTCTCTCCGATACTACCGTATCTTCTCCCCCATCGTCAGCTGTTTGTGACCGTGTGTTACTGGCAAGCTGTGTACACCTTGATCCGAGCGTTGCTCACGGATCTCAGTGGCCTAGTGATCAAGGCGTCTGCCGTTAACCATTATGTCCTGAGTTGCACTCCCTGTTTAGGCTATATCTGCCTAATGAGTCCAAACGAGGACGAAACCGGCTGTGGGGTGTTAGTGTTGGGAGAAGCAACACCGAAACACCTCGATTTCGGATACGGTCCTTGTGATCGGAATGACCGAGATCTCAATAAAGATTGCGTGTCGCAATCCAACCACACGACGGGCACTCCAAACTCAATTTCGAATACTCGGTGTTTATCTTAGGCACCTAGGTTTTTTACGCCAGGCTCCCTCCTCTCTTTCTCCTTGTACTCTTATAGTTCACTCGTGGTATGGCAACGAGACATTAAAGCAAAGCACTGGGTGGCATGTGACGGGGTGGCAATTTTAATACCGTTGATTGTTCTTTACCAAATATAACGGACAAATTTTCCACACAAGCTGAGGGTTGAATATTTTAATGTTACTCTGTATGACCAACAACAACTGCGCCGTGTGTCACACATGCGCAAACCTTCTTCCCAGCGATCCCCTTACTTGTGTCCCATTGTGGTGGTCACTTTCAGCATATTTCCCTCAGTGTCCCAAACAAGACCACCCATTCCATCGAAAACTAATGTGCACTTTGCCCGAAGCCGATTTGTGTGGCCTTCACACGATCCTATTCTGTCCACAGTCAGGGAGGAAATTTCTCCACTGCCCCGGGCGGCAAAACTGATTACTACGCCACTGCTTGGTGCATTGATGCTAAGCAGAACCTGATCACTTCGCTCAATAGCTATATGATCAATTGGAGGGTAAAGTTTGGACTACACCTTGGTAGAGGTTTCGGCTACTATTTCAATGGTCGCTGGATCGAGGCCTGCTGTCTCCACCTGATGAGATGAAATTACATCGAAACGTGTCGTGGTTGTGCAGTGTTTTCGGGTGGGTAACACCCAATTTCCATCAGCTATACGATCACTTCTATCTATCTTTGCACTGTTCCATTGATATCCTATATCTGTTGGCATGAGTAGCGTCCTGTTACTCCAGCGATCAGGATGAGCCTTCGATGATCTGAATGCCACTGATGTACAGTCGTCGAGTCCGGTTTTTTCACTAGCTGCAATGGTGGATTCTCTCCTCTCCATTCCCAGCCCACACTTGTGTACTGTTTTTGAGAGCTTCAGCCTATTCACCGCGTTGGTCCCCCTTGATGATCTCCAGGTCACATTGTACGAAATGCACGCATGTAACAATCTCCCAACTTCGCTCCCCGTTTATCTCTTTCAAGGAATAGGTGCACCTCGGTAGTTGTAATTATCTCATTAGCTCAATACACCATCATAGTGCGCCCACACCCCGATACATGGCTGTTCTTTCCACACCGCTGCCTCATTGTATACAGTTCCCACCATTGCTTTTGTCGGCTTATGAAGCTATTTGCTGAGCTGCGTGGGTCTGAGCTTATCTCCTAATGATCGTGGGCACGTGTGTCCGCACGTCTGCAGCTCAACTTTTTCGCGCACATGCGCGCGTGTGTTTCTCCCATCCTCTTATGAATTCCGGCAAAGATTATATGTACCCATGAGTAGGGGATTTTTAATGTAATCAAGTGAGGTTCTTCGCAGCCAGTTTCCAAATCCTCCACATGCCCGAAAAAGCATTAGACTGCAGTTTCAGCCTGTTGGGCATCGTCAGTAGTGCGCATCCATCGGATCCATCAGGATTCGAACCCATGACCACCAGCAGCTTATGCCACTGGGCCACAGGGGACAGCTTCGGACCGTCATGATTTACAAGCCAACTGCGATATAGCGCGCCTTATCATCCACTGCTATGCAAGTTACGAATGTTGCAGACGACAGGGTTGGCCCCCGAAAGACACAACGTCCACTAACAGTAGCTAAGTACAACATAGCATTTAGAAACTGTCATGTACTGTAATGTACTCATGAGTAGGGGATCCGATGGATGCGCACTCCTGACGATGTCCAACAGGCTGAAACTACAGTCTAGTGCTTTTCCGAGCATGTGCAAGACTATCTGATTTGGAAACTGGCTACGAAGAACCTCACTTAAAGATTATATGTACTGATTACCTCCATTTTCGTCCCACTTTGAAATAATTTGTGTAATTGGGAGTTTCAGCACTGCTGTCTTCCTACATTGCACTCCACGTCTGACCGGTCTCGTCCTAATTTGAACACTTCAGGTAGGCAGAGCCTGAGCTGAACGTTGAACCCAACACATAGAGGGTTTCAATAAAGCAAGAAGAAACAACATTATAACAGAATTTACTGAATTCAGTAATTTCGCGTATTCTCATCAGCTGTTTACATACATACGTACCACTTTTGCTAGAGCTCGCCAAATTTGCTCATTAGACACAATCGAACATGAACTAGAACGAGTCACCTTGACGCTACAAGAGAATGGGTATCCAGCGCGATTTATAACTCGACACGCAAAAGTACGATCCGGAGATAAAACACCAACCGATGTCCCAAAGAAAAGAGTATTCATTACACTGCCCTTCAAAGGAGATCAAGTTGACCGAAGATGCAGGCATCGCCTCCGTCAATCGATTAAGAAGTGTTACCGTGCGGCTGAGCTAGTGGTATTGCATCAAGTCAGAAGGCTGCTCTGTAAATCCAACCTGGACAGACCAGACTCTCAAGTTACCGCCTCTTGCATTTACCTCTTTAATTGTACTTGCGGTAGCAAGTACGTAGGCCGAACTGAGAGAAGGCTGTCAGCGAGGATTGCAGAGCATGTTCCGCGAAACATGATTGCTAAGGGTCCGAAGCTACCAACTAGCTCTATTGCCCGCCACATCCTAGACTGCCCTGAATGCCAGAACCCA